CATTGCAAAGAACTTCCAGTTCCTAAAGGTTGGAACTGATGGTTCCCAACGTGGGAACCAAAGGTTACCATGGCAAGGAACTGCCGGTTCCCAGACCTTGAAACTTACGGTTCCCAACCTGGGAACCAGAGGTTACTATTGCAAAGAATTGCCGGTTCCCAGAAGTTAGAATTTATGTTTTCGAAGCTAAGCAACTATCATTGTAAGGAACTGCGGGTTCCCAAAGCTTGAAACTCATGGTTCCAAACCTGAAAGTGGAAGGATCTGTTGATTCCAAAAAGTTAGAACTCGTGGTGCTTAATGTTGTTTTGTTTTGTTTACTGAGCCGGTAACAGAACTTTTTGTTTTGCTTAATGGACCGGTAGCGGAATGTTTGCGTTTGGCTGATGGGCCGGCAAAAAAATGTTTTTTGCACGAAAAAGGTGCATGTTAAAATGATATGAAGACATTTTCTGTACAACTTTATGGTTTTGCTTAATGGACCGGTACAGAACGCTTTGTTTTGCTTAATGGACAGGTACCGGAATGTTTGCGTTTGGTTCATGGCAAGGAAGTGCCGGTTTCAAAAGGTTGGAACTCACGGTTGCCAACGTGGGAACCACAGGTTACCATTGCAAGGAACTGCCGGTTCCCAGAGGTTGTAACTCCTGGTTCCCAACCTGGGAACCATGGGTTACCATTGCAAGGAACTGCCGGTTCCCAGAGGTTGGAACTCCTGGTTCCCAACCTGGGAACCATGGGTTACCATTGCAAGCAACTGCCGGTTCCCAGAGGTTGGAACTCCTGGTTCCCAACCTGGGAACCATGGGTTACCATTGCAAGCAACTGCCGGTTACTAAAGGTTGGAACTGATGGTTCCCAACGTGGGAACCAAAGGTTACCATGGCAAGGAACTGCCGGTTCCCAGACGTTGAAACTTACGGCTCCCAACCTGGGAACCAAAGGTTACCATTGCAACGAACTGACGGTTCCCAGAGGTTAGAACTCTATGTGTTCGAAGCTAAGGGCTATCATTGTAAGGAACTGCGGGTTCCCAAAGCTTGAAACTCATGGTTCCAAACCTGAAAAAGCATACGTTACCAGTGGAAGGATCTGTTGATTCCAAAAAGTTAAAACTCATAGTTCTTAATGTTGTTTTGTTTTGTTTACTGAGCCGGTAACAAAACCTTTTGTTTTGCTTAATGGACCGGTATCGGAATGTTTGCGTTTGGCTGCTGGGCCGGCATAAAAATGTTTTTGCACGAAAAGGTGCATGTCAAAATGATATGAAAACAGTTTCTTTACAACTTTATGGTTTCGCTTAATCGACCGGTAAAGAACGCTTTGTTTTGATTAGGGACCGGTACCGGAATGTTTGCGTTTGGTTCATGGCAAGGAACTGCCGGTTCCCAAAGGTTGGAACTCACGGTTGCCAACGTGGGAACCACAGGTTACCATTGCAAGGAACTGCCGGTTCCCACAGGTTGGAACTCCTGGTTCGCGACATGGGAACCAGAGGTTACCATTGCAAGCAACTGCCGGTTACCAGAGGTTGGAACTCATGCTTCCCAACCTGGGAATCATAGGTTACCATTGCAAAGAACTTCCAGTTCCTAAAGGTTAGAACTGATGGTTCCCAACCTGGGAACCATGGGTTACCATTGCAAGGAACTGCCGTTCCCAAACGTTGAAACTTACGGTTCCCAACCTGGGAACCAGAGGTTACCATTGCAAGGAATTGCCGGTTCCCAGAAGTTAGAATTTATGTTTTCGAAGCTAAGCGGCCATCATTGTAAGGAACTGCGGGTTCCCAAAGCTTGAAACTCATGGTTCCAAACCTGAAAAAGCATACGTTACCAGTGGAAGGATCTGTTGATTCCAAAAAGTTAAAACTCATGGTTCTTAATGTTGTTTTGTTTTATTTACTGAGCCGGTAACAGAACCTTTTGTTTTGCTTAATGGACCGGTAGCGGAATGTTTGCGTTTGGTTGATGGGCCGGCATAAAAATGTTTTTGCACGAAACAGGTGCATGTCAAACTGATATGAAAACATTTTCTTTACAACTT